TTTCCATAAATGCATAAAGATTCAGAGTTTCTCCTGAGGATTGATTCAACCAGCAGAATTCACCAGGGAAAATAATCCTATGGGATGCATAACGATTTAGACTCTCTTCAGTGCATCTCACACCCAGTTCAATTCAAACTATCTGAGTCAGAATGACAGATTGATTCGATCATCACAACCTAAGAATTTACCAAAACTTTATCCTACAAAAGATTCAGACTTCTTCAGTACATCTCACGCCCAGTTCAAATCAAATTATCTCAGATTTGAATGATTAGTTCATTCATTCATTCAGCAATACTTTAAGAATTTGCCAAAAAGATTCAAACTTTTATTAATGGATCTCGCACAAAGTTAAACAAAATTTCCCAACTCAGATTTGTATACACAATTGGCTAATTTCGGTAGAAAAGTTAAATTCAAAATTTCCCAACTCAATTGACTAATTTCGGTAGAATTAATTATAAGAAGTGAAAATTTTCAAATTCTTGAGTATTTACATAGTTGAACTTCAAGATCTCAGAAGTTGAAAAGTCATTATCCAGCAAAAAGGGAGAGAAGGAGATAAGCAATCGTACAAAGATATGAAAGCTTAACTGAGGTACCTTGAAAGCTGAGTAGAGATGCGGATTAAAGTCTTTGTTCTCGCACAATTTACCTTTTTGGTCTGGGTGCACTTAGATCTGCTGTCGTGATAAATCTTATACTCTGTTTTGATGATGGTAGGTCAAGGAGACGCTAGGGGTGTAGGCTAGGGGTGTCAATGCTTCCGTTCAGCTAATTATTTTTAAAAAAGTATAATATACCCTTTTTGGTTACTAGTACGTACGTTGCACGTTAATAATGGCGCATGATGATTAAAATATTTTTGGTCAGTTAAGAACTCACATACCCAGAAGATGAGAGTAGCAGAAATGAGGATGTTGAGGTGAATGTGCGGGCACACTAGGATGGATAAGATTAGGAATGAAGATATTCGAAAAAAGGTGGGCGTGGCTCCTATGGATGACAAGATGCGGGAAGCGAGGCTCAGATGGTTCGGGCACATAAAGAGGAGGAGCTTTGGTGCCCCTATAAGGAGGTGCGAGCGGCTGGCGCTGGTGGGTACGAGGAGAGGTAAAGGGCGGCCTAAGAAGTATTGGGGTGAGGTGATCAGGCGGGATATGGCGAGGCTTCAGATCTCCGAGGACATGGAACTCGATAGGAAATTGTGGAGGTCAAGCATTAAGGTTGTAGGTTAGGAGGTAGTTGAGTTCATTTAGTCTACCAGTGTGAGGCTAGACTGATAGGATTTAATCTTAGACTGCTAGTGGTAAGTGTTGTGTTTACAATACTCTTCCGCTTGCATAGTGTCGGGCCTTATTTAATGGTTATTATTTCTGCTTTCCATTTATTCACTGGTTCTTGTGATGTTGTTATTATTTCCATGGTTTTTATTGATGGTACTGATATAGTGTCTCTTTTCGTATTTTCGTCTTCTTGAGCCGAGGGTCTATCGGAAACAGCATCTCTACCCCTATCGGGGTAGAGGTAAGGTCTGCGTATACACTACCCTTCCCAGACCCCACTTGTTGGACTATACTGGGTCGTTGTTATTGTTGTTGTATGAAGGAACAATAAAATTTAATTAGTGAGAGAAATTTTATATATAATAATACAAAAATTATCTAATGCCGAAAAAATATTAGTATTACATTAGTGTCACGACCCAATTTAGGATCATGGCCGGCGCTTAGGAGCAAGTGCTCCCAAGTAAGCCTCATCGGTAATGTACAGAAAATTGAACAAAATTTTTTCTATTTTAGGACTATCCAAAATAAACATGTCTCAGAAATCAACAACACAACCAACCAATATCCACCAAAACAAGTCATAATCCTCATTCATGAAGTATTTCCAACAAACAATAATACCAACTTCATCTCCAAGTATACGATGGGAAAGTCTAATACGAGTCACAGGTCTATATCAATAAAAGAATACTTATGACACTCATAAAGATGACTATGGAGCGACTCTAAGAGTTCATAAGGAAAGATGATAACAAATAAATAAACTTTTCACCCACGCGAACAAGTGCGGGGCTCACCAGGAACTATCAACTCGTATACTCTAATTAACGAAATCCTCGCTCGCGTCAACTGCTGCCTCTGTAAAAAAAAGCGGGGAGTGAGTCGCTAGCTCAGTGAGTACTAACAGTTAACCACAACCGTTTTTAATTAGGGACAAGTCAGAAAACATACATGTATAGTAATAATTAGAAACTATTATAAAAATAAAATGCCCTTTCAAAGCGGTATATATAATCAGTCTATTCATGTGTTTCATGTAAGAGAAATCAATTTGACAAATCGGTAATAAACTCGGTAAACACTGTGTCATAGCAAATCTTTATGTTTGGAAAGATTTCCAAGAAAGGATCATGTAATTTGTATCACTATGTGGACCCCTTCGTAAAAGGAGTTAAATATAATTGTAGATCCCTACTCGAGGGAAAAATGTAATTGTATGCTAGTTCTATTTTCCCATTAGGGTTCCATGAATCGATTTTTAAATATAAATCTTTCTTCATAAATATATAAGATTGGAAGGAAGTAGTTATCTTTTTGTCAAACCCTAAAATTTTCGAGACTTAGAGTTATTGAAATACACTTAAGATTTTCTTGAAAAAATCTATATATTCCATGTAGTTGTTAAGTTAGGAGATGAATTAAATGGCCAAATTTATCGAAGAGGGTATTAAAGCTCATCTCACTAAAGTATTTATGATGTAGAGCTCATCCTTTCCTCTAACCCTTCAAAACGGAGCTTTAAAATAATAATAGTCTCAGTGTCTCTCCTGAATTGGCCTTTAAAGTCTCAGTCTCTCTCCCGAATTAGCCTTTAAAAGGCTTTAGTGAAGCTCGCCGCAGGGGATACAATACATGCACATCGAGCGCGCCCCTATTCTTTCAGATTAATGTTAGAACTCGTGCGACATGTGGATAACTTGACAGAATATTAATCTATTTAATATATCACATTATTCTAATATATATTAGTAATTATTTTATTATTTAATATGGTATATGCAAATAGAACAAAATCTATAAAAAATCAAAGGATACACATTATATAGTAATCAAATTATTTGTTCCTTATTTAATCTATATTATTATTAATTAGAAAGTATTTAGTACTATACATTTACTAATATGACTTTTTATTAACTTGTCAATTGGATTAATATTTTGATACTACTTCTCTTTTCATATTATATAGATATATATTTTCTTTCTATGAACTATTTTTATTTTTTAAAAACTTATGTTATATCGTCAAAATTCTTCAATTGTCTAAATTTATCAATTATTTTCTTGAGTGCTATTTATTTATATTTAATTAATTAATTCAAAATATAAATATTAAAATTATCTTTATCCCCCACTTTTCATACATTCTTTTCTACTGTAATATCGTGATTAGTTTTCTTGTTTTGTACTTTACTGAAAATTAAATTTTGAACTCATCAAAAGTATAAAGAGATAGGCCTTTTATTATTTTTATAAAAAAACATATCAATATTTTTTTATAATATAATAGTTTTCTTAAAAATATATTGATATTTAATTATTTTTAATTCAAATTAAAAAAGAGTAACTAATTATTAACTAACCTAATTAAATTTGTCCAAAAATTTGACACTTGTTAAATTTTTATTGTGACAATTAACATTATCACATTTATTTGCTTCTCCTATTCTATGTAGATAGATTGCCGGACGCGAAGGCTGACGCTACATCTACACTTCACTGCTTTTGCATGCTTGGCAACTCACTTTTGGATGCTGCTTTAGACGCGACACGTCCTTGCCCGAAATGCTTGGTGAATTCACGATAACTAATTTCAACATTCTAAGTTCATTAAATGTCGTCTTCTACTTCCTCCTGTCCACTTTAATTGAGTTTGGATCATTTTATACATATTAAAAAAATTCACTTTTTAGCATTAATTAACAATAAAAATTGATCATATTTAACCTTAATTTGTTCATTGAGAGTATAACAAATATTCTTAGATCTTTACGCAAGGGTAATTTTGGAGAAAGAAGTTAATTCCTTCTTGATATTTGAAAAAATAAAATATTGTGGACTTCAAAATATGACCAAAAATTCAATTAAAGTAGACCATAAGGTGTATTATATACTAATAATTGTATCCCCCCCCCCCCCCCCCCCCCCCCCCCCCCCCCGATTCACGTATTAGAATCACCTATAGAGTGATTTTTGTATATAAATATGAAAATCAACTAATGATCATTTTGTTAGCTCTAGAAACAAAATTCCATCTTCCATTCTTAACACACCTTAATATTCATACGTCTATGTACCCCGGGCCATGTTATACATGCATTAATATGTTCGTATAATATTTTTCTTGTATTCTTGAACCTTGCTTCACTTGTGAGAGCCACGTGAAAAGATTTTTTTGAAAAATAAGTGATTTTCTCACTTATTTTGTTGTATTTGATTAGGTGGCAGAAAGTATCTTTTAGAAAATATATAATTTTGACAAACACTACAAGAGACAAATGGACAAGGAAAAGGAAGGATAGTAAGTCGGGGTGACAGTGGGACAAGAGGTGGGGGCAGGGTAGGGGTGGAGCGGTGGGGGTTAAGTGTGGGGGAGGTAGGGGTAGGGTGAGGTGGAGGGTAAGGAATGTTGAAAAAGAGTTACGAAAATATTTTTCTTTCTTTTGGTAGGGAAATTATTTTCCTCAATTGGAGGAAAATAAATCCATGAAACAAATCAACCAAATATAGGAAAATTGAAAAACATTTACTCCATACCAAACACACCCTAAAGCTCGATTTTAGCCTGAATTAATTGTAGAAATTCACAGGGCCTCTCTCCTTAGCTGCATTTCAATTCAATCAGGCATTAAAAAACTGCAATTCTTTTTGTAGAATACAGAAACTTATTGGCATCGGAAAGTAAGAACAAACCAGATGACTGCTGAATCCAATCAAAACCTATATTTTCTACCTTTCGAGAAGCCAATATGCAGTCAAAACTCAAAAGTATAACCACAATAGTGCTTATTAAGAACAGTACAAGGCTCAATTGTTGAACCTGAACAATTAGATTTCACTAAGATTACCGGCTCTCTATATCATTCAACAGTATATGGAATGTTCAACTGCTTATGCAATTACTCGAGCTTTTAAGCTCTGAATATAAATTACCTAACCAAAAACTTTTCTCAAGATCAAATGTTCAACTACTCTCAACTCTAAAAACTTTCTTGCAAGCTTAATAGAACGAAAATATCATGAGTGCAAACTTTGAACTTGAAAATGTCTTAGCATCTTCTTGGGATAGCAAAGGTCTTCATCTCGCACGGGAAGGGATCCTCAGAATATATGCACAATGTCATATGCGAATCTTTTGCATGTCAAGGAATTACAGGAATTGCATATACAATACAACACCATGCAAGGGACAATATGGTAAAGATACATAGAACCCACACAAGAAATGCAATGAAAATATTGGCACCGCTACGGCCTCTCTCCTGTTTTTTCAATTTGGTTGGTTAAGAGATAATTTGAGAGCACTGTAAATGTTACCAAAATATCCAGTTATGTTTTTGTTTCCCACAATTCTTTTCTTAACTAAACTTGTCCAAAACAATTTGTCTACAAAGGTAAAAGACAGAAGACATATCTTGTTAGTTAGAGTAATACTTGAGAATAACATGTTCTAGAGGGGAGGTAGAGGATAACATGTTCCCAACTATAACCTGATAATATCTGCATGATCATCTCTACACCCTATCGTGTTAGTTAGAGTAAAACTTGAGAATATTGGCAAAAGACATACATGTTGGGGCGGAGATGATAAGCCGAATACCTTCAGATAGTTTTATCAAGAGGGAATAAAATAATTCATAAATCTATTTGTCGAAAGACTACAACAGATTAGGATACGTCCAGAAAAGCACGAATGACTGCAAAGAACAGAAACGTCAAGTCAGTGTCAAATTAAGCATATGAAGCAAAATTTAAATTTCAAATTGTCAAGCAGTGAAATTTTTATGCTGGATACTACCTTAAAACAAAAAGGTACAACATAGGCTACCAAGATAGAAATCAATCCCATCTCCCCAAATAATTAACGAAGAACTGTAGGAATACTGATAAACATGATTCTAACCAATAAAATATCACTGAGATACAGATAATATGATCCAATAATTGTTTAGCTGCAAGAGAAATTTGAAGAAATAAAAGTTGAAAAGATTTGGGAAGAATTCATAACCGGGAAAATGAATGAGAAAAATTTCCAAAAGGGTAACAAGGGAGAAAAAATGAGGCAGGGTAAAATAAATTAATCAGGGTTTTCAAAAAGATTATGATTTTGAAAAGAAAGTGAATTTTACAATATTTTCTCCCGTGGGGGTGGTTGGGCAGGCAGCAGATAAATTGATTCTTAATCAAGTATTAGAACAAACGAAAATACACAAAGAGGACATTTTATTAGAAGTATCGAATCAAAGAGGTACCATAAGCCCGCCAAAAACTCCATCAATCATGACTCTGTTCCAGCTGTCAAAGTAGGAGTGGATTGAAAACTTGGCCTTTGCTGTGAGTGCTACCGAAGTTATTGCCATGACAAGGAAATAAAAGATAAAGCCTGTCAAGCTAGTAAGTCCCAGAATGCCGGCAATGACACCACCAATGATTGCCATGAATGTGCGGCTGAAAATAATGCTCAATATAAATTGGAAATGTCCAATGACAGGGAAAAAGCATAATAGCTCAAAAAGACAAAAAGAACCCAACTTTACTTGTTCATAAATGATCAACTGCACGTCTCCATTCACATTTTCATTCTTCCTTCAGTTCCAACTGAATAATCAAGTATTGACATTTCTTGATAGACAATTGCAGCACAAAAGGTTGTTTTTGTTTTTCTTTTATATGACAAGTTTATGGAGCTTGGGATTGTTTTGTTGTAGAAGCAAAATAAGAAGCATAGTACCAGGACTTCCATTAGCATTGAAAACCAGTATAAACTCTTAAATGATTCAAAAAACTACTTCTCATCGATTATTGTAACTTATAAAGGTAAAATTCATTCATCAATACCATTATAATCTGCAGTTCTTGGTGTTGGGTATTAGGTTGTTTCTTTGATGATTGAGGTACTTAGAAATTTAGTGAGGTAAAAGAACGGATATTTGAAGGACTCTACGCATCTCCTCAAGCCATTATAGTAACACATGGAATTACAACAAGAGTAACAGATAGTATTTCCTTTCTGCTTAGGTGCGAGGAGCTATAGTCTTGTGCACTAGAAAATAAGAACTCAAAGAACCCAACCCAAAAAGCCATAATACAGAAAAATCATTCCAAGTATTGTTCAAAAGATGAAAAGAAGTTAGCACTGAGATCTTGAGATTATTTCATGATCTTGAAACGAAAACGTGGTTTATGGGCTGATTTCAAGAAACAACGTATCTCAAGTTTTAGGACTTAGAATCTGATGATTCAAAAACGAGATGAACGATGACGATCTAAACTATAAGAAAGACTATTTATTCGTTCAAAACAAGTAAACATTGAGGTTGTACAGGTTCAATGAAAGTTCTGATTCTAGGATATTAAACAAACGAATTTAGATCAAGAAACGTGTTCTTGAATGATCAAGAACTAAAAAGTTCCTAAGTCACCACTTGGAATCAACTTTTTTTGAGAAGGGCCACTTGGAATCAATTAACGTGATAATAAAACAGCACACGCAATTAAAAACAAGATAAAGACTAGCACCACCTTACTTGGAACCACAAGGATAAAAGAAGACAAAATAGAGAAAAATACTCTATTGCAAATTAGGACAAATCCCAAAAACGTGAATTACTTCTACAAGGCATGAGAACCCTTTATATCCGCCTAGGATCTCTTCTTTGATGACTACAATTCCTATTCTAATAAGGAAATGAAATAGCAAAAGACAAGGAATCCCTATTCTACAAGGAAAAGAAACTAAACTTACCAAGAAAAGAGAACAAGAAATCCTTTCTTGTAAAGAAATAATAATTCCTATTTTAAGGAGGAAAGAATTTTGGCTTTTTGAAATCAATCTTGAGCTTCTTAGACTTCTTGCGTTTCTTAGAAATAAGTTCATATGTTTGAATTTGAGCTATAAAACATGATCTTGGCCAAGATAAATTCGTCAACCTGGACCTCTAGATTATAGCTTTGATACCAAATTGATGCGATTCTTCGAGTTAACAAAGAACCAATCAACCAGGATCAAGATCTTAAAACGAAAACGTGATTTATCGGCTGATTTCAAGAAACAGTGTATCTCAAGTTTTAGGACTCGGAATCTGATGATTCAAAAACGAGGTGAACGATGACGATCTGAACTACAAAAAAGACTATTTATTCGTTCAAAACAAGTAAATATTGAGGTTGTATCGGTTCACTGAAAGTTCTGATTCTAAGATATTAAACGAACGAATTTAAAATCAAGAAACGTGTTCTTGAATGATCAAGCACTAAAAAGTTCCTAAAGTCACCACTTGGAATCAATTAATGTGATAAAGAAACACTACACGCAAGTGAAAACAAGATAAAGACCAGTGTTATTAAAGGCGAAAAGCGCAAAAAAACTCTAAGGTCTATTAGGGCTTTAAGCGCAAATAAAGCGTGGGCTTTAATGAAGAAAGGCGCAAATGGACAAAAACTACAAATATGTAAGTGTAGTCCAAGACTAATATCAATAAGCATGAATACCAAATATAAGGACAAAGAAATTAAAAAAAAATTACGATAAAGTAAAATATCAATTGTTTAATGTCGCATTTTCAGGATTACGCTCATTGACAAGAAAAGTATGCCTTAGAACCTTGATGGCAACAATAAAGCGCACGCTAAGCGAGGCAAAGCGCTCAACATGTTTTGAGTCTCGCTTTAGGGCTAAAGCGCGCCTTTGATAACGCTGATAAAGACTATCACCACCATGCTTGGAACAAAAACAAGGATAAAGAAGATAAAATAGAGAAGAACAATCTATTGCAAATTAGAACAAATTTCAAAAACGTGAATTCCTTCTATAAGGCATGAGAACCCTTTATATAAGCCTAGGGTCTCTTCTTTGATGACTACAATTCGTGTTCTAATAAGGAAATCAAATAGCTAAAGACAAGGAAAGTAAAATACCTACTCTACAAGGAAAAGAAACTAAAATCATACAAAAGGAAAAATGCTTATTCTAAAAGGAAAACAATAAAGAAAGTCTAAACCTACTAATAAAAGGAAACAAGAAATCCTTTCTTGTAAAGAAACAATAAATCCTATTTTAAAAAAGGAAGAATTTTGGCTTACTGAAATCAATCTTGAGCTTCTTGGACTTCTTGCGCTTCTTAAAAATAAGTCCATATTTTTGAACTTGAGCTCTAAAACATGATCTTGGCCAAAATTAATAAAATTTAACATAGATTCTTCTTGTTCATCAATAAGCCCCAAAGCTTTGGTTTAGTGGTAAGAGCGCAAAGCGTGATGCGCGGATTAGGCAGACGTCACGGGTTCAAACCCTGCTGCAGAGGTAAAGGGGAGAAGGGTAAAGAGGGGAGGGGGTCTATCATCCACCGAGTTTTGAATCGTACACCACAGGACCTACGGGATTTCTCGATTATAAGAAAAAGAATAGAAAAAATGCCTCAGTGAAGGATTTAATTCCAACATAAATGCATATAACTTCAACCAGTAGTCCAGTTGTGCTAACATCAATCTCACATGAATACATGATTGAGGACGTAACTCACACCAACATAGTATGTATTAACGTCTATGTTGCTCGGACTCTCCGAAAATATCGCCGGGTGCGTGTCGGATTCTCCAAAAGCAGTGTATTTTTGGAGAATCCGACACGGGTGCGGCAGTATTTTGGAGAGTCCGCGCAACATAGATTAACGTACATCCAACTTAGCTAATTACAACTATTTGAAATCTTCAAGAAACAGTAAAACCATAAGAGACTATAAAACAAACCATAAGAGACTATAAAACACTGGACTGAACCTAAAGATAGTGTCAACCAACCTGTATAAAATAACTTTCATGTTGTTTTGCACATTCTCAGCATTGAAAGTTGGCAAATCATCCATACCACTGCTGGATTTTTCTGAAGACCCATTTGAGTTATCATGCCCCGGCATCACGGCCTTCTGCAATTCTACAAAAAATCCAAAAACGATAAGACTGCGAAACTTGGATGCAGAACAAGAATAGAACTTTATGGTTAGTTGAACCAATGATAGCAAAAAGTGCAAAAAAGCAATAAGGACCATGGGGTATATTGTAAATTAATACACCAAAATTAAATTGCAATTAAATTATAAATTTCAGCTTGCAATATATGATAATGCCGATATTAATCCAACTCCTCAAAGATAAGATTCAAATAAATGACTGATTCTCGTTAGAATCACTTCGTGCACTATTGTTTGAAGCACAAACTTCACTAAAATGCATGGCTTCACAGAGGAACCACTAAACCCTCGCCCCATATCACCTTAAGTGACAGAGCAATGGATTTTGTTAACATTGTTGGTTACCCACTATCTCAGTTACAAGGACAAAATCAATAAACAGAAGTTAAGAATTTACCAAAAAATTCCTAGAAACGCTTAAAGAAGACGACTTTCTGCCATGGATTTCACATCCAGTTCAATTCAAACTATCTCAGTTAATATGGTTCTATGAACACAACTTAAGTATTCACCAAAAAGATTTCCATAAATGCATAAAGATTCAGAGTTAACTCCCGAGGATTGATTCAACTAGCAGAATTCACCAGGGAAAAAAATCCTATGGGATGCATAACGGTTTAGACTCTCTTCAGTGCATCTCACACCCAGTTCAATTCAAACTATCTGAGTCAGAATGACAGATTGATTCAATCAGCACAACCTAAGAATTTGCCAAAAATTTATCCTACAAAAGATTCAAACTTCGTCATTGCATCTCACACGCAGTTCAAATCAAATTATTTGAGATTTGAATAATTGATTCGTTCATTCATTCATTCAACAATACTTTAAGAATTTGCCAAAAAGATTCAAACTTTTATTAATGGATCTCGCACAAAGTTAAATTCAAAAATTCCCAACTCAATTGACTAATTTCGGTATAACGAATTACAAGAAGTGAAAATTTTCAAATTCTTCGGTAGTTACACAGTTGAACTTCAAGATCTCAGAAGTTGAGAAGTCATTATCAAGCAAAAGGGAAAAGATAAGGAGATAAGCAATTGTACAAAAATATGAAAGCTTAACTGAGGTACCTTGAAAGCTGAGTAGAGATGGGGATTAAAGTCTTTCTTCTCGCACAATTAACCTACAAGTAGCACGCGGCTGTAAGAGGCAAAATGTTCCACACTCTTCTGGATCAACCCATGGTCTAATTCGTGAAAAGGTATTTAGACTCCACATTTCCACCAAACTTGAATACTTTCTGCTTTGTATTGAGTTTATTGTCGAAATTTTTTGTCTTGAATTAGGTGAGGTAGATCTTAGAGTTATTTTAGCAACTATAGAAAGATTAGCCACTAAATGTGGCGAGTTTCAACTTATTGTTGTCTTTGCTCTATTGTCCTTCGAGACAACTGTTAATAGTCGGTTTGCAAGACGGCCCGGAGATGAGAGTGGACTTTTGGTTGTCTGGTTCTTTCCTAACACCATATCTAAGAAACTAAACTATTTACCCTCTGTTGATTAGGACAAGAATAAGTTGAGTAGCAAAGTATCTTCTTTTGTCAACAAAATCGTGATTCCACTGTTCTTACTTTGAAAATGGGATCTAAAGGTTAAGAAGTAATACTTCCACATAACATGCAATTATGTGAATCAGCTTTTGAACAAACTCATCAAAAGCCACATAAAAGATCAAAGTAAAACCAAATGTGGACTTCTTCTCTTCCTAAGCTTTCGTAAAGTGAACTGGTAATTATAAGTTTTCTTGTATTGCATGGTTACTCATTATTCAATTTTTATTGATATGTTAGAAGAAATATGCAAAACATGGTGCTACTATTGTTATCCTAGTCTTTGTTCTTCTTGACGAATGATCAAAGTTTAGTTTCTATCTGATTATAATTTCTTTTTATGTATAGGAGAATGTGGATGATGCAGTTCGAAATGGTGGCAGAAAGTAAATTTGATCTTAATGTAAATGCGAAATTTTTTTGGATAATTAGGTTGTATAATATTCATGATCTTAATGTAATATTCATGATACTATATGAATATATTCACTTTTGTAAGGTTTATTGTTAATGGGCATTTTGACTCATTGTTTTATTATTATATGTATTAATTTGAATTTTTTTTTTTTTGGTACTTATTGGCTAATTTGTTCTTCTTGACGAATGATCAAAGTTTAGTTTCTATCTAATTATAATTTCTTTTTATGTATAGGAGAATGTGGATGATGCAATTCGAAATGGTGGCAGAAAGTAAATTTGATCTTAACGTAAATGCGAATTTTTTTTTGGATAATTAGGTTGTCTAATATTCATGATAATGTATGAATATATTAACTTTTGTAAGGTTTATTGTTGGTGGGCATTTTGACTCATTGTTTTATTATTATGTGTATTAATTTGAATTGTTTTTTTTGGGTACTTATTAGCTAATTTAGTTCTTTATATCATCAAAATATATGATAATAATGCATTGAGGGGAAAAAGCAAAAACTTACATTGGACGAATTGAAAAAAAATATCAAAGCTTGTGGCACAGAAATATCCACAGATCCAAAACCAACTCACAATCCATGTGTTCAAGCACACAAATTTACATGGATCTAAGAAAATGTTGAAAATTCAAGATTTTAGCACTGACATATCGGTAGATCTAAGTCAAAATTGCATGCTTTTAGTTCAGGTATATACATAGATCTCAAATAGCTCAAAATTCATTCATTTAGGCATAGATCTAAAACAAACTCCAGTATCTAAACAAGAGAAAAACAAATCAAAGCAAATTAACCATCAAAATAAGCGATAATTCCATCGTAAACACTGACCCGATAGTCGGATTATTCAAATCCGGAGGTGATCCAAAACGGTCAACGCCTTAAAAGCTGCACCGATTTTCACAAAGCTGTATCAAAAAATTCGACTCAAACCCTAAAAGTTCTATACACACACACATAGGGAATAAAGAAAAAGCGGAAACGGCCGTACCTGATATAGAGTACAGAGATGAAACGGTAAACAGAAGCGCCGTGGAAAGTTCGCAAGGTCCGCGTTGTTTGATGAGGGTTTGGTTTTATCGGGACAACTCTAGTATTGGAGAAAAAAAATAATTAATAAAAAATTTAACTTAGAAATAAACAGAAGTTTAGTTCTAAGGAGTGACAAAAAGAAATATAAATATCTATATCTATATCTATATTTATAGGGGTGTTCATAAAAACTCGAAAAACCGAACCAATCCGAAAATCAAACCAAATCGACCAAAAAAACCGATAGTTTTTGGTTTGGTTTGGTTTTGGTTTTGAATTTTAAAAAACCGATCAAATTTGGTTTGGTTTTGGTTTTAATCAGAAAAAAACCGAAAAAAAACCGAACCAAACCGACTATAGGAGTAGCTATTTTAAATATATATGTATATTTTTATATAAAGTTTCAAAAATTTTATGGTAAATGTTAATAGTTTGCCACTTTTAGTAAAGTTCTTTACCTTTACATTCTAGTTTGATTGGTAGTTTTCTTTTGTTAAGTGTAAGAATCCATTTCGTGTTAAAAATAATAAATTTTTAATTGAGTCCTTAAATTATTTATCACTATTTGATTCAATTATCATCAATATATCTTGGTAAATAATAGATTTTTCAAAGGGCAATTGATTTGATAGTGTTACGTTGAAAATATGGTCGCCGGAGTATGTGTTTGGTAGTGTATGTCTTATATTTAAATCGACAAATAACTGAAAAACCGACAAAATCCGACATAAACCGAATCGAGAAAAAACCGACTTAATTGGTTTGGTTTGGTTCTAATATTTGAAAAACCGACTTACTTGGTTTGGTTTCTTTTTTGGGAAAAACCGATCCAAACCAAACCATTAACACCCCTATATATTTATATCTATATTTATATCTATATCTATATCTATCTATCTATATCTATATCTATATTATATTAAAAGCATGAAACCTTAAAGCTAAAAGTCAAATTACAGATTTACCCCTTTTAAAAATCTAATTATCTCACCTATATAAAAGAAAGCAGCAAATTTATTTGAAGGGGTGTGATCCTTCAGAACAAATATTATAATGTCCCGAAAATTTTCTGTCCTAAAAAACTAGCCAGCAACTACTTAGAAAAAAATTAAATTAAAATAACAAGTTTGTAGGAAGGGACGCATACCTTCATAATAGGTTACTACAATTATTGTTCCGAACAGTTTCTAAGTACTCTATATTATATTTTTGAATCTTTGAGATGTTCTATTTCAAAGATCTTGTCATCATGGGATAAAAATTTACAAGGCACAATTATCTCTTTTGGATTTCATCCGCAATAATTTTATGGGATAATTTAGAAGGCTGATTGGCATGTAGTTTACAAATCCTGCGGTCATTTCTCAATTAGCGGTATTCCGTTGCTTCTTTTAATTATACTGACAACATTAGCGCCCCATCATCTTAATTTTTATACTGATAACATTAGCGCCCCATCATCTTAATTTTTCATTATTCCGAAAAATGTATTAATTCAAAGGTGAAAAAGTATTACTATCACATAACATTTATATATGTATTATGCATTAGTTATATCTTTTTCCCAAGAAAACAACTTCAGTGTCTGTTCTATTAGTAATGATTCAAAGCAAGTTGCCTAGCAATTTATGTTTTTTTTTTTTTTTTTGGTAATTAGCAATTTATGCTTTTCTTCTCACGTTCTCATTATACTTGTTAAAATGGGAATAGATTTTGTTGAATCATTTGGCATTAGAAAGAAAGATGGAGAACTGTTACTTAACAAAAAAAACTAGACAATTATCAAGTTCAAAGAAAAAGATCTTCAAAAGCATAAGAGGTTTGATAATTTAGAAAGAAGTTCGAATGTTATCCAAAGATTAGGTCCACTGCTGCTAAATTTTTGAGAGTTTAAAAAAGTTACACGAAGGGAGACCTATGCATTAAGAAAGTCTTTGCCCTTTTCAGGGGAAAAAATACCAATTTATTTATTTATAATGTTTTGAATATTGTTTAAGGCTTGAAGTTTGTGATGGAGATGTTGTATTCATGCTATACTTTTTGATACTACAAAATATTTGTTAGGTTTTCATGTCACTATTTCAATCTATCTCTCAGAAGGTCAACACATTATTTATATAAATTTTAATATATTAACAGATTGAAAATACTTTAATCAAAAGAAGACAAGTCGAATAAACTTTTTTAAAATAAATTATCTCTAACATATGGACTATCTTTTAATGGTGTAGTAGCAAGAATCTAAATATTATCTCAAATTGGTGTTGAGTAAAGAGAAAGAATCCACTTTTCTAGTCAAAATTAATACGACAGTAAAAATTTAAGTAGGAGCTTAATTAAGAAAAATTAGCAATGATGCGAAGGAAGAGAATGAAAAGAAATAATGAAGAACACTCCCACAATTAATAAAATAATTCAAAATTAAAAATAAATTAGCGGCCTTTCTTTTACATGTAAATGAAACTTTGAACTGATTTGATTTTGAAGTTATATTTGTCAAAAAAGTATTATTGCTTGGGTTTTTTTTTTTTTTAATTTTCTTCATATAAAAGAGAAATTTGTGTTGGTATAATATTCCAAATTTGATTTGTATTCTTACCATCATCATTTTAACCGATAATTCTCCTAATGCTTTTATTCTTATTAGTTTCCACAAATTATTTATCTATATTTACGCAAAAATAATTACTCAATAAAAGGACTTCTACACAATATATACTATATGTATAAGTGAATTCTATGTTATTATCTGTTTAGCTAAATGATTCACGATTTTCATAAATTAAGATATCAACAACAACAATACTAACCCAGTATAATTTCACAAATAAGATCTGGAGAGAGTAGTATGTACGCAGACCTTACCCCTATCTTGATGGGTATAGAGGTTGTATTCAATATACCCTCAGCTCAATAAGACGAAAAGAGACAATAGATCAGTAACAACAACAAAGGCCAGAAAAATAATACCAATAACCTAAGAAGCAGAAAATTAGATGGAAAAACCAATATCAATAACCAGTAACGATGGCAACGTAATAGGTAAACGGGGCGAAAAAATAGTATGAACACAACATGAACCAATAGCATTCTAAGACAAGGCACTATCAGACTAGCCCTACACCCAGTACGGAGTAGAAAAACGCTCAACTACCTCCTAACCTTCAACCCTAAAGCTCGAGCTCCACACCTTCCTATCAAGGGTCATGTTCTCGGAAAACTGAAGCCACCTCATGTCCAGCCTGATCTAAATTTAAATATCAACTATTGATATTAATAATTATGTAATATGAAGCATGTTGTAATTTGACAACACAAGTTTCGGTAATGACAAAGCAATTGAGACACATAAAAAGGAACATATAGCAAGAGTATCATTTATAAGGAAGTTTATGTAAGATTCACTTCATTATATTTTATACCTCATAAGATTGAAATAAATTAAACAAGCATGTGTATCTAATTAAACTTCGATTGTTTATTTTTATAGGTTTAAAAGATATCTAATTATATTAACCTCGAGAAATAAGTCACAATACGAAAATCTACATTGATCATTCACATAAACATCTGGTTTATTCTTTTATGCATAATTATACACTTAAAACTTTATTTTAATAATAATAATAATAATAATAATAATAATTTGTGTACTACATGGCTTAGTATACACGTGCATCGCACGTGTCGAGAAACTAGTTTATATTAAAAGCACGAAGACCCTTAGCAAAATATCGTTCGCCATACTGGACAAAATAGTCGTAACAAATTATTTTCCTAATATTTAGGAATAACATTTAATTAACTGTCTAATATTTAGGAATAACTATTTAGTTATTTTCCTAATTTAAGGATGATCACGCCCAACTATGCCTTATAAAAAGTACTAAGCGGTCGCTGCAAATATAATCCGGTTTACAAGTCCGGAGTCGAATCCCACATAGAACTAAGGTTTAGCTACAGCTGTTCACTATCACCAAGAAGACAAGCTTGAACAAATCCTAACTTATAGATATTAAGATTCTTGTGTTAAACTACTTAACTAACAAATTAAAATAGTAAATTAACAACTAAAGATATTGAGGGCTAGAGAAAAGATTAAGGAGGTCTAGAGTTATGATTTCCCCTATTGTCGGAATCCTTCCCGCTATGTCTTCTATAATTTCGCCTAAGTATTCTCTACCAATCATGAGCACTCTTATTACCGTAAATCTCTCCCGAGTAATTACGACAATTTACTAGACGCACTCTCCCGAGCTATGCATACTAAATAGGCACAGCTACTTGAGAGCTCTTCAATCAACCACAATATAAACGTAGTTGAACAAATAGAGAAAAGGTATGGCTCAATTATATAAAAACATAACAAGAATTTATCCTACAAAAGGTTCTATCAAAACTCTAGATAACAAATTAGCTATTCATAATAGTATGTAAAACTACAATACAAAAAGTCATAACCAACAATGAAAAAAATAGGAAGAGGAAGGAAAAACTCGTAGAAGAATTCTCCGCCTTGCTCCCAATGTGTTCTTGCCTCCAAGGGTGTTGTCTAACCCTAAAGTAGTGTCTCTTGCCTCCTTAGGTCTAATTTGTGTCCAAAATATGTCCTCTTCTCGTTCTAGGCCGGCCTCCTTTGTTTTATATAGGGTTTAGGACTTAAAATCCCATGTTTTACACTTTAGCCCCTGAAATTTTCGCTTCCCACCGCGGTTTCACCGCGATCGCGGTGGAACCGCGGCCAAACGCCCTCGCGGATTCTTCATTCTTCAGAAACTGCCTTCCACCGCGGTTCTGCCGCGGTTCTGCCGCGATCGCGGAAAAACCGCGGTTTTTCACCCTGTTCCGTTTGGAATTTGGAAAAATGTAAAACATGAAAGTTGTAGCTCTTTGAGTTAGCTTTCCAACCATATATTGTGGAGCCCAAATGGAGTTCTGAGCAAAAAGTTATGTCTATTTTACTAGACAGTGCGCAATATGCCTACTCAAGTCTTCGTTCGTACTTAATTATCAAATTTGACCCCCGAACACGATCCCGGCTTAATTCCTTGAGCTTTTACTCAGACTTCA